GAAACCGCGTGACCCAGTAAAAATGTCGAGATCATATTACCTCAGCAGACTCGATCGCATGTCCGACCTAGAAGATGGGAGAAAAGTACAGATCGCACGCACCGCAGGCACAATTGCTGGCTCCCCCCGCAACCACCGTGCCTCCACGCGCGAACTTCCAACACACCAATCCTCCTCGTCCTTCTCTTTTCTCTTCTCTTCGGTCTGTCCTTCACTTCGCCTCCGTTGTCCTGAGATACACGTCCCAGAGAATCAAGTCATGGCGCCTCCGCCAGGGTCGGCCTCGCCCTTGGTCGACAGCCCGCAGATCAAGGAATCGCAACTTCTGCGCCCGCTGCCTTTCTTCCTCCACACCTACATCTGGCCCTTCACGATCGTTTGGCCCATCTTCTTCCGCTACTACCTGAGCCAGGAACTCTACGATCAGTATATTGGTGGCCAGGAATGGACCTTCGTTTGGTGCGGCGCCATCTTCACCGTCCAGTCCCTCTTCTGGCTCAGTACCCACTGGAGCGTTAATCTTGAGGCTCGCTTCAAGGCTTCCGCTGTCGAAAAGATTGAAGATGCCCTCCTCATCAAGGTTATCCCTATCGCCAACGCCGGGTCCAGCGATATCTGCAAAATTATCCGTGATAAGGTAGCCAATCCCCTCATCAAATGCACATCTCATCAACGAGGGGCAATTGCTAACTCTACCTAATGTCCAGGCCGGCGGTAAGACCAATCTTTCCTTCCTTTTCCAGAAGAGACGATTCCTATACGACCCCGAGACCAAGGTCTTCACCACCTTGAAATACCCCATCGATGCCGAGCCCAAGCCTTCTATCGGCCACTTCCAGACCTCCCGGGGTATCGACACCCAAGTCGAATTGTCTCGCATTGAACAACACTATGGCATCAACACCTTCGACATCCCGGTGCCTTCCTTCACCGAGCTCTTCCAAGAGCACGCCGTCGCCCCTTTCTTCGTCTTTCAAGTGTTCTGCGTTGGTCTGTGGATGCTTGATGAATACTGGTACTACTCGCTCTTCACTCTGTTCATGTTGGTCGCATTCGAAAGCACCGTTGTGTGGCAACGCCAGCGTACTCTGATTGAGTTCAGAGGCATGGGCGTCAAGCCTTATGACCTGTGGGTGTTTCGTTTGGGCAAGTGGATTGAGGTCCAGAGCGACAAACTCCTGCCTGGCGACCTAGTTTCGGTCAGCCGCACCAAGGAGGACAGCGGTGTTGCTTGCGATATGCTTCTGGTTGAAGGCACTGCCATTGTGAACGAAGCTATGCTTTCTGGAGAGAGTACGCCTCTGCTCAAGGATTCGGTTCAACTCCGTCCCAAGGATACCCCTCTCGATACCGAAGGCCTAGACAAGAACTCTTTCCTCTGGGGAGGCACCAAGGTTCTCCAGATCACCCACGCCAGCACTGAGCAAGAAAAAACCAAGATTGCCTCCGGTGTTCCTACTCCTCCCGACAATGGTGCAATGGCTATTGTGATCAAGACCGGTTTCGAAACATCCCAGGGTAGCCTTGTGCGAACCATGATCTATTCCACCGAGCGTGTCGGAGCTGGAAATCTTGAGGCTCTGTTCTTCATTCTGTTCCTCTTGGTATTCGCCATCGCTGCTTCTTGGTACGTCTGGGACGAGGGTGTCCGCAAGGACCGCAAGCGATCCAAGCTGCTCCTCGACTGCGTTTTGATCGTCACCAGTGTCGTTCCGCCTGAGCTGCCCATGGAGCTGAACCTTGCAGTCAACACTAGCTTGGCCGCCCTCGCCAAGTATGCTATTTTCTGCACTGAGCCTTTCCGTATCCCCTTCGGAGGACGCATCGACGTCGCCTGCTTCGACAAGACTGGAACCCTGACCGGCGAAGACTTGGTTGTCGAGGGTATCGCCGGACTTGGTCTCGGTCACCCAGAACTTCACGACAAGACTGAATCCAACGGTGCCCACTCGAACATGATACCCGTCAAGGACACAACTCTGGAAACTCAACTCGTCCTGGCTACTGCTCACGCGTTGGTTCGACTCGATGAAGGTGATATCGTAGGAGACCCTATGGAAAAAGCAACTCTCGGATCTCTCGGCTGGTCTCTCGGCAAGAACGACACTCTTCACAGCGCAGTCAAGGCTACCGGCGTTCAGGGAACAGTTCACATCAAGCGCCGCTTCCAGTTCTCCTCCGCCCTCAAGCGACAGAGCTCGGTTGCCATGGTCCACGGTGTCGACACCAAGACTGGCAAGAAGATCAAGGGAACATTCGCCGGTGTCAAGGGTGCGCCCGAGACGATCATGAAGATGTTGGTCGATGTCCCCGCTGACTACGAGGAGACATTCAAGTACTTTACTCGCAAGGGGTCCCGTGTGTTGGCCTTGGCCTACAAGCAACTCACAACAGACTCGGAGCTCGGAACCAGCAAAATCAATGACCTCAAGCGTGAGAAGGTCGAGGCTGGCCTGACATTCGCCGGCTTTTTGGTTCTGCACTGCCCTCTTAAGGATGACGCTAAGCAAGCTGTTCAAATGCTCAACGAGAGCAGCCATCGTGTTGTCATGATTACTGGAGATAACCCTCTGACCGCTGTCCACGTTGCCCGCGAAGTTGAGATTGTTGATCGTGATGTCCTTATCCTCGATGCTCCTGAGCACAACGACGGTGGAGACGAGCTTGTCTGGAAGAGCGTCGACGATACCATTCAAATCCCCGTTGACCCAACCAAGGCCATCGACCCCAAGATCTTGGAGGACAAGGACATTTGCATTACCGGATATGCTCTCGCTAAGTTCAAGGGTCAGCCAGCTTGGAACTCTATTCTCCGATACACCTGGGTATATGCTCGTGTCTCACCCAAGCAAAAGGAAGATATCCTTTTGGGACTTCGTGATATGGGATACTACACGCTCATGGCTGGTGACGGTACAAACGATGTCGGTGCCCTCAAGCAAGCTCACATCGGTGTTGCTCTCCTCAACGGAACACCTGATGACTTGACCAAGATCGCCGAACACTCCCGAAACACCAAGATGAAGGAAATGTACCAGAAGCAATGTGACCTGATGGCTCGTTTCAATCAACCCGCCCCTCCCGTCCCCGTCATCATCGCTCACCTGTACCCCCCTGGCCCATCCAACCCCAACTACCAGAAGGCAATTGAGCGTGAAGCTAAGAGGAAGGACATGTCTCCTGAGGAGTATTCCAAGTCATTGGGCCACCCCACTGAGGTCATCACCACCCCCGCCGCCCAGAATCAGCTCAACGCTCGCCAGCAGGAGAACATAAACAAGGCTGCCGGTCTCGCTGACAAGCTCACCACCATGATGGAGTCGGATCTGGGAGATGATGAGCCACCTACCCTGAAGCTTGGTGACGCTTCCGTTGCTGCTCCATTCACGTCAAAGCTACGCAATGTCATTGCCATCCCCAACATCATTCGTCAAGGTCGTTGCACTCTCGTCGCTACCATTCAGATGTACAAGATTCTCGCCCTCAACTGTCTCATCAGTGCCTACTCGCTGTCCGTCCTTTACCTGGAGGGTATCAAGTTCGGTGACACCCAGTACACCATCAGCGGTATTCTCATGTCGGTCTGCTTCTTCAACATCTCGCGTGCCCGTGTCGTCGAGGGTTTGAGCAAGGAGCGTCCCCAGCCCAATATCTTCAACATCTACATCATCGGATCCATCCTTGGACAGTTTGCCGTTCACATCGTGACTCTTATCTACATCGCTCGCCTCTGCGACAGACTTGAACCGTATGTATAGACCCAAAACCCACTCCTACCGTTTTTAATGCATGAGCATCGCTAATTCTCTCACCAGACGAGCCTCCGACGTTGATCTTGAGGCCGAGTTTGCCCCATCACTGTTGAACTCGGGTGTCTACCTCTTGCAGCTGATTCAGCAAATCTCCACCTTTGCCATCAACTACCAGGGCCGACCTTTCCGCGAGTCCATTTCCGAGAACAAGTCCATGTACTGGGGCATGATCGGTGTGTCTGGTCTGGCCTTTGCCTGCGCCATGGAGCTCATGCCCGACATCAACGAGCAGATGAAGCTCGTGCCCTTCAACGAAGAGTTCAAGCTCAACATGACCGCCGTCATGGTTCTCGACTTTGGCCTCTGCTGGATCATCGAGGTCGGCCTCAAGGCTGGCTTCAGCGACTTCCGCCCCCGCGACATCGCGGTGAGGCGCGAGGACCAGCTGAAGCGCGAGGCCGCCCGCAAGGAGATTGAAAACGCCAAGAAGGAGGAGGAGGAGGAGAAGGCGCGGCTCGAGAAGGTGGCCGAGTTTGAGCGCAAGGTCGAGGCCCGCCGACAACAAATAGAGAACTGGAGGCAGGGCAGACAGCAGCCGCAGCAGTAGATGCAATTAGAGGTGGCCAGGTGCGCTTTATACTATACTTACTGTACAAGAGGGATCCCTTGTCGGCCACCAAGAGATTCGTACTGTGTTTTTTTTTTGTTCCCATTTACGACATAGAAAAAGATGGAGATTTCAATAATGTGGATGACGGCATGAACGGGCAAGAAGGTCCAACCACACTGGCGGATGCATTGGGAGTAACTAGATGTCTATGTACGCTGTAAATGTAATTGAGGCCGATCTTGGCCTGAAACATCTCTACTTTTCAAAGCAATTGATCAATTGATGTCAATGGGTTCAAATCCAGGTACTGCAGAACCCATCATGTGCGGCAATATTTCACGTAGCTCAAAGACGTCAAATAGAAGGTAAGATTTTTAGATATTTTCATTCATCCGAATCGTTTCCTATGATACAGAGACCCAATCAAGTCTATGGCAGCTGTATACGAGCAGAAAAAAAAATAAAACGACCGGGAAGCCTCCTGCACCATCGCCATTTTTTTCCCTCCCGACAAGAAGGAGCCTAGTCGTTCATCTCGACGCTGCTTTATAATTCTTTCATCAGCTGTTTACAAATGACCAAGTTCTATCAGACAAAGACAGGAGTTCTTTAGGGTCAATTATACAAAAAACAGCAGCTTAGTTGCCGGGGTTCTTGGCGACGAACTCGACGCCCTTCTCGATGTTCTTCTTGAGGTCCTTGAGGGCGGCCTCGAGGAGGGTGGTCTCGTTGGCGTCGACCTGGCCGACGGGGTGGATCTGGGAGACACCCTCGGGGCCGAGCTCGACCTTGGAGGAGAAGAAGTCGATGCCCTGGTCCTTGTAGAGGGGGGACTCGACGAAGGAGGGCTCGACGACGCCCTTCTCGCCGCCGACGGCGCGGAGGACGGAGTCGGCCATGCGGGCACCGGCCTGGGCCATGGAGAGGGTGGCGGAGCCGGCACCGTCCTTGGCCTTGACGACCTCGTCACCGCCGAACTGGACGCGCTTGATGATTTCGGCGTCGGAGCTCAGGTCGGGGTGGTTGCTCTGGCTGAAGAGGGGCACGATGGTGACGCCGGAGTGGCCGCCGACGACGGTGATCTCCTCGTCCTTGGGGTCGGTGCCCTTGGTCTCGGAGACGAAGCGGCTGGCGCGGACGACGTCGAGGGTGGTGACGCCGAAGAGGGTCTTGGGGTTGTAGACGCCGTGGGCCTTGAAGACCTCGCGGACGATGGGGACGGTGGAGTTGACGGGGTTGGCGATGACGAGGACCTTGGCCTCGGGGGCGGACTTGGCGACGGCCTTGGCGAGGTCGCGGACGATGGAGGCGTTGGTGTTGAAGAGGTCGTCGCGGGTCATGCCGGGCTTGCGGGGGACACCGGCGGGGATGAGGACGACCTCGGCGCCCTTGACGGCGGCGGAGAGACCCTCGGGGGTGGGCTCGTAGCCCTTGACGGTGGACTTGGTGTTGATGTGGGAGAGATCAGCGGCAACACCTGGAGTGGCGGTTAGCAGCTGGTTGTCTTCGCTGCAACGGCAGCAAGGGAAATAGAGGGCATTGAGGGGGGGAAGGAGGTTTCTCACGTACCAGGTCCGCCACGGATGTCGTAGAGAGCGAGATCGGTGACCTTGGGGTTGAGCTTCAGGAGCAGGGAAAGAGGCTGGCCAATGCCACCGGCGGCACCGAGGACGGTGACCTTGGAGAGCTGTTGCAGATGGTGTCAGTGACATTGTCCATGGTGCGAAGATGAATGGAATTGAGGGCTGGCTCGGGACGTGGAGGGGCTGCGACGAGGCAATTGGGAGCTAGCCGGCAAGGCTAGATGGAGATTTCTGGGGGAAATGAAGGTCAATTGAGCTTGATCCGGGGTAGACTAACCTGGCGAGCCGAGGCGGAGAAAGCCCGGCGCTGGATGTGAGAGGCCATGAACATTTTGGCGGTTTGTGGTAGATGAGGCGGGTTGGGGATGGAGAGATGGTGCAGGTGAGGGTATCCAGAGAGAGAGAGGAAGGGAGAAGAGGAAGAGTGCGTGGTTTTATTAGCGTCGACGGCACACACAGACAGACGCATTCACCGGGGCGGGAAAAGAAAACGGCGGTGCGGCGACGTCGCATGAGTGGCCGGCTGCATCTTAGCGCCAGCCAGACCTGTACGTACTAATGAAGCCCTGTGATCGTGCTGTTTTGCCCGTCCAATGTACTGGCAGTGGGTGTGCTGGGGGAGGTTTTGTGGGTACTAGGAGCGCTGTATTCTGGTTGTTGGGGGACAAACCGGCCCGGTAGTAACTCGGGATGTAGCGGGTAAACGGCGGTTTTGGCGAGTCCAGCGCACCACAACAGCACATCATTCATCTGGTACGGTCTTTCCGGATGCAATTGCAATTACACAAGTGCCCTGGTCAATTGTGTCAATGCAATGTTCCCGCCCTCGATGAGCCCCAGAGGCAAGCCAGTCTGGCATCTGGAAGGGGCGGATGCTGTGGAAAAGAACAGTTGTGCGCACCCTCGGCGTGGTCGGGATTCGTCTGGCAGGCTCTGCACAGGCATCATCCTCCAATCCTTGGCCCTTGTTGATCTGCATTCACTCCGTCTTTGATGGTCGGTGAGCACAGAGAGGTGCACAGATTGATAAGACTGGCTCTTCCGTTAGTCCGCCGAACTGCCCGAGACTGCAGACCGGTTCCCAGATGCATCCACGGATCGAGAACGACTAGCTGCATGTAGCTACTTGCTTGACATTGAGTCTCAGCGTCTGGGCAGCTTCAATTACCCCGCAGACTAGGGCATACGGATGCGGTCGCCTGAGCTTCGTACATGAATGGCCTACATATGCGGCACCCGATCCAACCCATCGTGCCTCACATGGTGGTATCATCACACCCAATGGCATCTTAGGGTACCATCCTCATGTGAATTTTGAAGCCAGATTGTTCCGATATCTGTGGGGACACTCCACGGTTGGATCATTGTTCTTGGTCTCTCCGAGGTTTTACTTTTTTTGTGGCTTACCACATGTTTTTATTGTTGATGAACCTCGTCGGAGTAGCACCATTGTTTTGCGCATTACTCATATCAATCCTCCTCTGGACAGTAAGCCCTGGCCGTCCTCTAGTAATTTCAATATCTCCAAGATAGAATCCTGACTCTGTGCGCTCATTGCTTGGCATTTTGTTTGGCATTTTGCTGACGATGCTCGGGTGTAGGGTAGGCGAGTGGGGTGTGGCGGGGCAATCTCGGGGAACTAACTTGTTGATGATCGGTATGACTGATCTCCAGCATCATCTGCACGATATTTAAGAAATAATATTTGGCCCAGTTTCTCGCGTTTTTACCAAAAGAAACGAGCAAATTCTGGGCCACACCATTGATTCTTAGCTCTGACCGGCCTTTTCACCTTCGATATGTCTCTCGCTCAGCTGTCGCAGCTGCTGCCACTCCCCGACGACGAACTTCAGCAGGTCCTCGACTATGCCTCCACCCTGTCCAAGCCAGAAGCTGTTTCGCACTTCAGCAATCTCCTCGGCGACTCGCCGCTAGCCATCGACTTCATCTCCTCCTTTAATTCCCGACGCGGGGACAGCAAGCCAGCGAAGCCAGCGCAGGCAGGCCCCTCTGCCACACCCGGCCCGTCATCATCGTCTGACGCCGTCGACGCCGTTCCCAAGTCATCGAGAAAACCCCAAAAGAAGAAGAAGGCAAACATCCATGAGCTAGCACCTCGCAAGGTCCAGGACTTTGCCGCCCCATCGGGCACTGTATACACAAAGAAAAGCCTCGGCGACTTCGACTACATCCCACAATCGCAGAGGACGTCCAGCGCACCAGGCAGCAACGATGTCTCGAGATCGACGACCCCGAATCCCGCACCCGCACAGAAGCCACCGTCCGCCCCGAAGCAGGCGCCCCAGAAGGAATCAAAGGCACATGCCTCCTCTGGGTACCTGATATCCGACGGCCCCCCGAAGGCCAAGAACAAACCCGACCTCAAGGTGTCTGGGGGTGCTACGAAGGTGTCCATTTCGGGCGGCACGCCCATGGCTGGCCAGTCCACAGCCCTCAACGACCTAGATGCTGCCATCCGAGCCCTCGAGATCACAACAAACCCGACGCTAGATAACCCCAAAGCCCGGAAGTGCAACTGCGTGGCCACGAGACACCCACTGCAGAGCGCGGCGCCCAACTGCCTCTCGTGCGGCAAGGTCATCTGCATGAAGGAAGGGCTCGGGCCGTGCACGTTCTGCGGCACGCCGCTGCTCAAGAAGGACGACGTCGAAGCGATGATGAGGGAGCTCAAGGATGAGCGGGCAAAGGAACGCATGGCCGCGGATGCCAGGGCGAACCGCAAAGCAGACGTGTCCAAAACACCCGCGCCCTTCTCAGGGAACAAGGCTCGGGGGACCTACGTCTCTACGGATCCTACGCTCGCCGAGGCTGAAGCTAAGGCTAAGGAGCACCGTGACAAGCTGCTCGGCTTCCAGGCGCAGAACGCGCGCCGGACGACGGTGAGGGACGAGGCGTCCGACTTTGACGTGAGCGGCGCGGTGTCTGGTTCTGGGGGAAGCATGTGGGCGAGCCCGGAGGAGCGTGCGAGGGAGCTGAAGCGGCAGCAGAAGGTTCTACGGGAGATGGAGTGGAATGCCAGGCCCGACTACGAGAAGCGGCAGCAGGTCGTGAGCATCGACCTGGTCGGGGGCAAGGTGGTGCGCAAGATGGCTGCCGTGGAGAGGCCGGCGACGCCCGAGAGCGAGGAAGACACGGCCGGCGTGCTCACGAGCACGACTGGGAACGGTGGTGCTCGCAGTGGAGGAGCGTTCAGCGGCAACCCATTGCTGGGATCTCTGATCAAGCCCGTGTTTGACGCCAAGGGGAAGGGCCCAGAGGCAGAAGGAGCCAGCAGATCGCGCAAGACGGGATGGAGAAGGGTCCAGGATGATTTAGACAATAACGAGAATGTCATTTTGGACGGCGGGATCCGAGGCTACGAGCAGGAGGCCAGCGATGAGCGGAAAGGAAGCTGATCTCATTACGTAGCCTGCCTAAAAATACAAGATGATACCCTCTGATTTCTTCCACATGAGATGATCTGTATGTGAGCCCAAGTACCAACGTAATTGGACCTGCGATTTCTGACAGCATCTCGCCTTTGGACAACGCACACCACAACCAATTGGTCCTGGCACCCGCATTAATTGGTTTAGGGTATATTAAAATTAATAAAAAGCAAATTAGGTAATGAGTAAGATATTTCGTTTTCTCCGTCATCAACAGCTAGTAACCACGTCTCGTAGACGCTCGGACTTGTTGGGTTCATCCTACGTAAATTGGGACATGGAGAGTCAGAGGGCGCCTTTGGCGGAGGCTTAATCGCCCTTCTCTAGGAATACTCTGGTAGGACTGGAATTGAGGCCAAACAAACAACTAACTAGCTGGCAAAAATGAGCAATAGAGATGAAATGAAAAACACAGGACCCGCGTCCTTTCCCCCACTATGTCCAGGTCGACCCCAGACTTCGCAACGAACCCAGATACAAGGGCTCCTCCTCTCCTGAAATCCAGTTGACCGTCTTGCCAGTTTTCAAGCTCTCCGGGTTGGGGAATGTATTGAAAAGGACGGCAATGCCGTCGTATAGGGTGTAGACGCTGTTGCGATTCTCTGCCCACTCCTCGCTATCTAGCAATCTTGTGTAGTTGTCGATCGACACCTCTTCCTCCCTTTGTAGCTCTGTCCGAGCAGTCTCGAGCTTTGCTTTGAGTGTTCTGGGGAAGGGAGTTGCATCGAACTCGCTTGTTTTCTGGAGGAGCGCTATGGAGAGATCGAGAAGCGGGACGAGCACGCTGGTAGTTGGGATGCTGATATCGGACAGTTGTGGCGGGGAGGGAGGGGAGAGCCTGTCCGCTGCAGGCGTCAGCTCAGTGCGGCTGAGAGCCTTCGTGTTGCGGTCTCTGAGTGGCTGGGCTACGCTCAAAACATCAAGTATGTCGCGTTGCAGTAATGCTTGGGCGTCTTCCCTCTCTGTGGGCGAGCTGGATTTCTGCTCTGCCTGCCGGGGAGTAGCCAATGCTCGGAAGATGTACTCCAGGACTGGCTGATCTGTTTTGCGGTTGAAGTCCCTGTCTTGATGGCTCCAGGCGGTAAACATCAGGTAGTGCCTCCCGCTGAGGAAGGCGATGGCACGCGTGAAGGCCGGGAATGTTAAGTTGGTGACTGGGGTAGATACGGCGGTGTTAAACGGCCAGTGGGAGAAGTAGGTAGCCAAGGCCCAGAGAGACGGCAAAGATGCGGTCAAGAGAGCCTTAAATTCTCCATCTTGAGGGACCTGCGTAATGAGGTAGGACTCTAGTGATTGTTGGTTCCAGGCTGAGCATCGAGTATCAATCAGTTCTAGTTCTCTGCGGGGGAGAGGGGAAGAAGGGGAATTACAATTGTCTGAGTTGGCATGAGCAGTGAATATTTTTTTCAGAGTTTTTTGTTCCTTCTTGTTGAAGATGGGTGAATCTCCTTTAGGGCTGCCCTTTTCAAGGAAGTGGGTGAAATCTGAGAGGATAGAGTCGTGGGTGCTGGTTTCCAGCCATCCGGTCCGCCCCGTCTTGGGCGCCGGAGCCGAGCCGTCTGCAGCCGGGGATGAAGAGATGGCAGTGGTGATGCGTTGCTTGTAATTGTGGAGGACATCTTTGAGGGACGACATTGTGATGAGGTGGAGAGCCGGGGAGGGATAGAGAGAGGGATAGAGAGAGATGGAGCGAGATTGGCAAAAGCGTACGCGACTTTAAGCCGCGTGTTGACTGACTGCTGGTGGTGTCGGATCCTGCTCGGATGCGGATGACGGCGTAGGAGGTTTATGATATGAAGGAGGATGAGGTGATTGCTTCAGGCCCCGCAGCACCAGCACGAATCAGCCCAGCAGGCCCAGATAATAGAGATCTCGCCGTCTGCACAAGGGTCTCTGGCCCCTGTTCTCTTGCTGCCCCACGCACTTGTTGAACCAAAGATCTAAAGTGGTTTGATCCCTCCTCGGCAATGTACTAATTCGTAGCCTAGGAGTATTATTAGAAACAAAGCGATCCCTCCTAAACAAGTAGGGCAGGTAGCGGGTTGTTTTGGATATAGGCTCTATTTCTAGCTTGCCTAATAAAAGTGACGCAAGTTCATCAAACCCAGCAGCCCGGATGATCTGATCTGATGGTTCATGCAGTGCAGAGTATTACTATGATAATATAACGGGAGCCTTCTCTCTATCTTAATATTCCCCCCATTCGTTTCTTCGTCTCTTTCAAGTTTACTTTTCTTTAAACTTCTTTCTACTGTTTATTCTTTTTTTCTTTTATTTGTGTATATTTTCTTTTCCCTTTTCCTTTGTATCGTCGTTTCCAGTGCTCCGATTCCTGTCACTGGCTGACACCAAAACCGCCAAGATGAAGCTACAGGTGCTTCCCCTTCTCCTGGCCGCATTCTGGGCCAGGGCAGAAGATACCCGGGACTTTCCCCAACGCAGTACCGACGACACCTTGAGCCTGGCCACGAGGGGTCAGGTTGCCGACAAGAATATTTGGGAAAGACACCCCGAGCCGTCGGCGTACCACTATAACATAGCCCGCCGCGACGCCACCCCGAATCCCGACTCTATCTTGTCCTTGGCCCTTCGAAGCCCCGCTCCTGCAAAGAAGGCTGCCGCTCCTGCTAAGAAGGCTGCTCCTGCTAAGAAGGCTCCGGCAGCGAAGAAGGCAGCGCCTGCTAAGAAGGCTGCTCCTGCTAAGAAGGCTGCTCCTGCTAAGAAGGCTCCGGCTGCGAAGAAGGCTCCCGCCGCAAAGAAGACTCCCGCTGCTGCGAAGAAGACCCCGGCTGCAAAGAAGAAAGCACCGGCTGCAAAGAAGACCGCTGCGAAGAAGACTCCAGCTGGAAAGAAGACTCCAGCTGGAAAGAAGACTCCGGCCGCAAAGAAGAAGACCACCGCTACGAAGAAGACTCCAGCTGCGAAGAAGAAAGCACCGGCTGCGAAGAAGAAGGCTCCTGCCGCGAAGAAGACTCCGGCTGTAAAGAAGAAGACTACTGCTGCGAAGAAGACTCCGTCTGCAAAGAAGACCCCGGCTGCAAAGAAGAAAGCTCCAGCTGGAAAGACTGCTGCTGGAAAGAAGACACCCGCAGGAAAGAAGTCTGCGGCAGGAAAGAAGACTCCAGCTGCGAAGAAGACACCGGTTGCAAAGAAGAGTGCAGCAGGAAAGCAGACATCCGCAGGAAAGAAGTCTGCGGCAGGAAAGAAGACTTCGGCAGGAAAGAAGAAGGCTTCTGCTGCGAAGAAGACTCCCGCCGGAAAGAAGACCCCTGCTGGAAAGAAGACTTCGGCAGGAAAGAAGTCTCCCGCCGGAAAGAAGACTTCGGCAGGAAAGAAGTCTTCCGCTGGAAAGAAAACCCCAGCAGGAAAGAAGACTCCCGGAGGAAAGAAGAAGGCTTCTGCTGCAAAGAAGACTTCAGCTACAAAGAAGTCTTCCGCCGGAAAGAAGACTCCAGCTGGAAAGAAGTCTCCCGCTGGAAAGAAGACTCCCGGAGGAAAGAAGAAGGCTTCTGCTGCAAAGAAGACTTCAGCTGCAAAGAAGTCTCCCGCCGGAAAGAAGACTCCAGCTGGAAAGAAGACTTCGGCAGGAAAGAAGTCTTCCGCCGGAAAGAAAACCCCAGCAGGAAAGAAGACTCCTGGAGGAAAGAAGAAGGCTTCTGCTGCAAAGAAGACTTCAGCTGCAAAGAAGTCTTCCGCCGGAAAGAAGACTCCAGCTGGAAAGAAGAAGGCTTCTGCTGCAAATAAGACTTCAGCTGGAAAGAAGACTCCCGCTGGAAAGAAGACACCCAAGAATGCTGCCATTCCTAAGAAGGGAGCAGCATCTGGGAAGGCTACTAAGAATAAGAAGGCCGTCGCCCCCAACAAGGGATCAGCATCCGAGAAAACCCCTGCTTCAAAGAAGGGACCTGCAAAAGCTGGAAAGAACAAAGCTTCTGGAAACAAGAAGGCTAATGTCCCCAAGAAGGCGGGTAAGAGCGGTGGTTCTCCTAAGAGCGCCAGCAAGAATTCTAAGAAGAAAACTCCTGCACGAGGAGCAGCCAAGGCCAAAGCATCAAAGGCAAAGGCTCCGAGCGGAAAGTCGGCTGCCAAGGGAGCGCAGAAGAGCAAGAGTTCAAACACCAAAAGTCAAAAGAGCAAAGCTTCAAAGGCGAAGACTGCTCACGGAAAGACTCCAGCCAAGACATCTCAGAAGGCAAAAGCTCCTCAACGAAAGAAGGCTGCCAAAGGAGCTCAGAAAAGTAACAGTTCGAAAGCCAAAGTCCCCAAGGGTAATGCACCAAAAGGAAGCGGTTCCAAGAGCAAAACTCCCAGCAAGGCAAAAGGTGCTAAGAGCGCAAAGAGCAAGACTCCCGCCAAGAACAACCGCAAGACGCCAGCCAAGAGTGTGAAGGGAAGCACTCCTGCAAAGAAAAACCACAAGACTTCTGTCAAAAACAACCGCAAGACTCCAACTGGGGGCAAGGCAAAGTCTCCCGCCAAGGCAAAAGGCGCTCAAGGAAAGACTCCAGGCAAGAAAAACAACGGGACTCCGGGTAAGAAAGCGAAAGAAAAGACTGGCACTAAGGGTAATGCCAAAATTCCCTCCAAGAGTGGGAATGGGAGGACTCCAGCCAAGAATAACCATAAGACTCCGGCCAAGAGCAGAGGCAAGAATCTATCCAATGTTGCAAAAGGAAAGGCCTCCGCCAAGAAGACTCCGGCACAAGGCAGCCGCAAGTCTCCTGGCAAGAATAACCGCAAGACTCCCGGGAAAGCAAAAAGTGCCAAAAGCGACTCTCCGGCCAAGAGTAAAGGCAAGAACTTATCCAAGGGCGCTAAGAGTGCCAATGGCAAGACTCCCTCCAAGAAAAACCACAAGACTCCATCCAAGGGTGCGAATGGAAAGTCTAATGGAAAGAAGACTCCGGCGAAGGCAAATCACAAATCCCCCGGCAAGAATAACCGCAAGACTCCCGCGAAGGGACACGGTGCTAATGGCAAGTCTCCGGCCAAGAACAACCGCAAGACTCCCGTCAAGGGTGGGAAGGGAAAGACTCCAGCAAAGAGCCATAGCAATGCCGCAAAGGCGAAGGCTGCCGGCAAGGGAAAGACACCCCAAGGGAAATCTTCAAAGAGCAATGGTTCGAAAGCAAAGAAGCCCAATAAAAAGCCTCCCGGGATGGGAAAAGCCCGCAAAGGCAATTCTCCAAAAGGGAAAGCTCACAATGGAAGAACCCCCAAGCAGAAGGCGGCCCTTGCCAAGGGCAACAAATCTACCAAGTCGCCCAAGGGAGCAGAAGCCAGCTGCTCTGCAAAGCGGGGTCTCGGGTCGGTTGGTGCAGCCTGCAAGGCGAAGTTTGACAAGGTATTCCACCGGAAGGGTAAGAATACACAACCTGCCCAGGACCCGAACGTGAGAAAGGATGCCGGAACTCAGAAGCTCGAGGAGTTGGCCAAGAAGAAGGGCATAGAGCTCAAACCGGACACCACATATGCGGTTAAGGAGAAAACTGGCGGGCTCATGTCGCACGAATACGTCGCCGGCGTCAAATACGAGAAAAACAACAACCAGGGGGTTGAGGAACATACAGCCACAGGCAAGAGATATGATCTTTTTGTCGGGGGAAAGAAATTTGGCGCCAAAGACAAGATACAAAAGAACGAGGACCAGGTTGACGCAACACTCGGTGCAAAGGGGAGCACTAAAATACCAGTCATTCATTCAAAAGACGCCGCTTATATCGAGGAGCACAATTGGAAACCGAACAAGAAGAAGGGAGGAAGCGAGCTTCTGGGAGAGATGGATAGCAAGTTTGTAGGCCAGGATGGCCCCGACGGCGACAAGATCCTGAAAGAGGGTGGGAAGATTCTGACTGGTGACCCCAACAAACAGTCGGGCGGGAAGTATAATATCCTCGCTCACTGTACCAAGGGGGACGGGAACAATTGCAGGACTGCAGCGCGGAAGCTTGGTGACACTGTTGTCAAGAAGCCGGAGGAAGCAGCTAAAGCACCTACACGCCCGGCTCCTGCGGTTCCTTCGAAAGTACCTCCTCCAATTCCTGCAAAACCAGCTCATCTAGCTCATTATGTTGGAAATCAAGGAAACTAAGGGATATCTTTTTACACACACTTTACCCCGTACATAGATTACACATGATAATTGTTTACTTGAGCATTTCGTTTCGTGATTCTACGCCCCTATTGAGTATGGTTTTTCGCCAACCCTGTCCAGTGTTTATAACACTTAGCAGAATACCATGCCATGGCCCCATATATTGATGACCCTTTCTTACGCTTTTAACTCATGTCTCCATCATGAGACACGGTATGACGACCCCCTGTTGATCGCCCGCTCCATTGGGTAGGAGGGCAAATACCATGTAAGTCGAGGCTCGGTTCTAGACTCTGGTTCCCCATATAGTCCCGAAGGCGCAGGTGGACTGGCTCCAATGCTCTGGTTAGTACGGGGGTATACCTTCTTAGAAGAGTCGTATTGCTGTCGCTCGACTTGACTTGATCAAGTAAACCATTGACAGATAAGTTGCAGCGCGGCACACAACCGACCGTGTTCTGCCTTTCCAAAGCTCACATGAATCATCTGGCTCAATGCTTTACTCTGCCACCCGAGAATGAGCTACACACCCAGCATACCTCACATCCATGAATCTCCCTTGACGCCATGACCTGGCTGCATAAATCTGGTGTTGTCTGCCCTGGTGGCAGAAGGGCCGTTGTCGGACTCCATCCTTGTCCAACGACCCGCAAGTCTCGTTAAACGTAATTGCCATCTTGGCTGCTGGGAGTAGCCCTGACTGCCAGCTCTACAGTTCAGCCGAGACAAGTACCATAGTCTCTCCCGTGGTTGCGTCCACGACTCGAGTCTTGCCCTAGGAGGCTTAGAGCTGGAGATATATAGCGCGCTCTCTAAGATTGGTAGACTAGGTCTGTCCAGACATTGAGAACTGGCGCCCTGCCCTTGCATTTGTAGATGCGTAGATAAAGGCCGGTCCGGGGAGCGGCTGCTGGGCTTCTCAGAGCCTCTTTTACAGGTAAGGAGAAGATTGCTACCAGGGTGAAGGATATTGTGATTCACCGTTAGGCCTAATTCTGGGAATCGGGAAAGCTCTCCCCTGTCAGAATCATAGTGGAACTAGCGGAACCGACGCTCGTTAGAAGCAGCAGTATTATGCTCGTATGACCCTAATATTGGAGCTGTTAGCGTCACAGGTTCACCTCAAGAGCACTGGTATCTAGGCATTGTCAGGAGAAATGGTCAGCTTCGCAAGGAAGCGCTTCTCCTTTATGGCATTGTTGGGTGGTCAAAGCAACTTTTCCAATAACACAACAGGTATCCAACATACTGCCCGCTTCTCTACGACGGGTTTGCTTTTATATCGAGGCCAACTTATTCACCAACATTCTTAAAATCCTTGGAGAACTATCTTAGCAACTAGTGGAGGGCTTACTTTGACAGAGCGTATGAGACCTGGCTGTGTAAAATAACCAGATCCGCTGCCTCACTGAAGCTATAAGATGCAATTCTGGCCTGGGATTTTTGTTCACTCGCCGCGGGTGTTCGGGTCTGAACAGCAGGATTAGACGACGGCGGAGGATCGCGAGACTGAAAATTAGGAAAAATCAACCCCTGCATCCTAGAAATAGCCACCGTCATTGCTGTCCTGGTTGCAGTATGATACTCTGCATCATTACAGGTCTGAGCTTCGAGGGTCAATTTCTACCCATGTCACTACCAAAAAGAAATTCATTTTTCTGCCCAAATATACAGAACGGCTTTGTTACATAAAAATGTAATTGAAACTATATTTAGAGAATCCAGGAAATTAAACAGGAGAAGAGCCAAGTCCATTATCTATGCACATATGGGAAGGGAGGTGCGAGAAACCTGGTAGTACCTCATGTTGTTCAACATTTAGTAACCTTTTAAGTAATATATCTAAGACAACAGGAGAGGACATTTGCTTAACTACACTATGGTAGCCTAGCTTCAGCCGACTTTGAAGTTGTTGTATCCTACACACCAACTATCCCGTTTGCTTCCCAAGCATAGGGATGTGCAAACGAAGTGAATACTGAATGCGCTGGAGCTTAGCCAGGGCACAGGCACTTGTCCAATGCCCGAGCGTTGGGCTTGCATTGGCCACAAACCGTGCCGGTTCTTCTGCTCAAGCACCATAGGGTTTTGGAATTGTGATCGGCCTTGTTGCAATAGCCCTCCTACAGAGTTGTTAGTAAGAGCTGTGGTTGAACATGCTGGAAATCAGAGAAAGAGGAAAATGGTTAGGCTTACATGAGTAGGCTTCTCCTTGCGGCGGTAAAGGTCACGCGCCTCAATGTACTCGTCGCGAGCGGCAAGGTACTGCTCTCGCGCAGCGGCGAGATCACGGCGGTCAAGGTCATCAGCCTGAGCAGCAGCGAAGCCGGCAACAGCAAGCAGGGAGACGATAGTCTTGGTGAAATGCATTATGAAATCCGGGAAAAGTAACGGGTGGCGATAGTGAGTGTTTGCAGGTGGTTGAAAGATCGAGGAAGCTGTTTTGTGTTGTTTCGAATCTCAACTTGACCAAGGAAAGGGCGCTTTATATACTTATTTCATCGCCTCTTCCTCAACTTCCTAGCTTACCTTGTTCTCATGTTCTACACCGAAGCTCAAAATAGAAGAAGAAAAGTGTGTCAGATGGGGAAATTGGAATCACTAGGACCTACACGACCGGAACTGACATGCCCAGGATATCCAATCCTTTGCGCTTGGCAGCTGGATATCTCGGCTATAGAATGTCCGAACCCCAACACGGATGTCAAGGAATTCAATACGCACTACGCAATACGGGCGTCTCTGCGTCCACCTAAGTGCCGAGACCCCTGTTGAAAACAAGGTGAGTCAAGATCAACCAGCCCCTTGGTTCCTGCTGTACATTGTCAGCAAATTGCGGACCTGCAGACCCTTGTGCACAAACAGGAGACGTCGGCAATTGGGGCCAGGGCGGGCTTTGTTGCACAATCTCCTGGTCCGGTCCTTCGGTATATTTTGCAGCTTGATCTGCTGGCGAACCAGCTGGCCGGCTCACCGCTGTCCGCTACCTCTTCGTCACATATGGCTGGAACGTTGCAAAACGTAGCGGCCAGTTGTGGATTCTTGAGAGAGTGTTCCGCGGAAAGTGCCGGTAGTTCTCTGAGCACGCGACTCCGCCCTCCCATGGGGAACTAGTCTACTGTTTGAAACAGGGGGACCGATCCATTGGGGTCAAACTATTTGATGTGGATATAGTGGCAACGATTAGTGCTTACGAGGTCTTTCAATCTTCCATGTGGATGTGGATAAGGACCTGCACCTTTAGGAGAAAAGCTCAGGAGGTCCCCATAGTTCATGTCATGTCAAAAGCCCGATCTCGAAACATGTCCAAGAGGCGGGAGACAACGTTTGTCAAGCTATGCTGGCTTGGCTCCCAGGCATTCCTTACTTGGTTAGGCTTCTATAAGAATAGACAATGCCATAGCTAAATGTCTCTCTCCTTTTAGCGTTACAGAGCTATAGAGCAAACAATCATCAAGACTGAGCACCTACATGGATAGCTATTTAGATGCTTGGGCTGGTAGCTGTCAGCAGTTGCCCCACGTGCTCGCATTATATTAGCAAGCTATACTCGCTTCTTCGCATGCACGCACTCCAGCACGGAGCTGTATCCAGCAATAAGTTTTATAGAGCTGCTTTGCCTATGCTTGCTGGGCTCCGCTACAGCATAAGGTAAGACTCCAAGGACCTTCTAGCTACCATCAGTGTCTTGTGCAAAACGCTCACTAGTGATAACGGACATACGTAATAATGGATGCCAGCCTAGTCCCTGGTCCTTGCCAGCCTCCACCATCTAGCTCGCCGAAATCGAGTACGTAGGATTCATTACCTGGGCGATTACTAGAGTTCAAGAAGGCGTAGGATGAGGCTAAGTAGGCTTTAGAAAAGTACAGGAGGCCTCAAGAAAATCTTGCGATTAAGACCGATGATGATTGGTATCCTGGGTTCGTCTACCAACTCTTCTCGAAATCTACGTTCAACAAACCATTTTATGAATCGGAGGCTTGTGGCGACATATGAGGTTAACCTGAGAAAGCTGGTGGAAGGATTTCCTTTTCCCTAGTGACTTAATCGTCACAAGGTTGAAGGCAGACAGCACAGCACACCCATTATTCATCGTCGCCGCTGTGGAAGCCACCGCGGCAGTCAACTAAGGCGTAGCTCGAGAACCACAACTCTCCATAACGGCGTACTTGTATAGGCCATCGTACCTAAAGCAAGAAAAAATTTCTGTCGTCAAATTGAAATCGTATTGCCTGATAAGCTAGCCTCGTTTAAAATTCATTACATTAGGCCAAACAGTCTGGGTGCAGTGATGCCTTATATAGGGTGCGGTTCTATAATAAGCAACGATTATCTTGCTTTCGATGCTTAAATATTTAGTTCTAATATACAAATTAATTTTAATATAGTTAGACTTTTAATAGACTTGGAAGAAAGTTAATAGTAGAAGAGGGTTTGGATAATATATGAATTGCCTCGAGCTACTACTAAGACATCTCTAAATGTATAATTCTATTATTATTCACTGGTTTTTATGAACCGTTATTTTAGCATAGGCCGCATAAACTTAAACACCCTCAACACAGCGATACTTGCTTGACTAAAAACATGTTACATAAGGTGTACATCCCTAGCCCTTGTCCGCATAGCTTCCAACACGGCTTTCTTTCCAGAACCTCCTTGGCCGTCTGATGCTAACGTCGAAGACATTCCTGAAGCGCCCCCTTTCTTTTGAAGCAGTCGCGGCATCATCGTCGGGCATAACCTCCTGATCGGAAATAATGTCTAGACCAATTTGACGAAACATCTGTGAGTTTGATGCAAGAACTGGCTCTAACACTAAGTCAACTACGACTCTATCACCACCTAGTCCAGTATCAGACTTGATGGGGAGGAGAAAAACTCTCTTTCCGATTTCAATTCTAGTAGAAAGTCTCTAAACAATTGGCCATGAACTCGACATCCCCTGGGCCTGTGAGCAAGATTGTAGACGATGAAATAGTTGCGGTGAAGGTCAGGCTCACACTCAACAAGTGATGCTGCGAGCAGTACCCTGTTGACATAAAGTTTGCCGGAAGACAATTTCCTGTGGGAGTTGATTCTATCTTATTGACGTTGAAATCTCGAAGGGTTACTAACAACTCTGCATCACTTGTCACCCCGTATCTTATCACCTGGCCATTTAAAGCCGCCCACGACCAAGAAGGAGGCCATGTAGCCTGACGAGACACGTTGAACCGGCAGTAGGACGCGCCAATCTAGTTGTTCAAGTAAATGAGATTTCCACAGGCCAGCCATGTACTCATCGCTGGAAACACCCTCAAATAATGGAGATACCCCTGAAAATGCGGGTAGCTTGTCGCTGGCAACAGTAAAGGTGCATTGCGAATACTCTTTAGCAAGTTTATTCCAGGCTGTAAATAAGCTCATCTTTCTATGAACATTGCTGTCGTCTGGGTTGTTATTCTCATGCCATAACATGTCGAGCTTCTCGAGAGGTCTGTTGTAGGGGATGCCCTCGGGGAAGGTTTCACATTTGGTTTCGCATAGACATTCCCACATGACCTGATCTTCAGCGAAACAGAGTACCCGTGGTGCGAGAAGGCGTTTTTGGAAAAGTTAGCCTCTGTTGTAGGGAGATCTGTGCCGCACTCGCTTGTTCTAAAACTCTTTATCAAATATTAAGTGATTCCCTCGGTCGGTGGACAAGGCGGGCTGTGTGAAGATACCTGGGATGAGAGTGGGATCAGTGTTATCTCTGTCGCGGAATAATCCTCCTTGCGGAGTCTTGAATGATACAGAGGGCATCAATTCAAAAAATATTGTACAGAGAACCGCCGCGAGAGGGAGAAAAGGTCTTGGAATGGTTGTGGGATATCTTCCAGCTTGAAACCACCGCGAAACTCTTGGATGTTCGAGTACCTGAGTATAAGTTTCTAGGGCTTCTCACCTCCTCTGTAGCTCAGAGTCAAGTAAGTAGGTGGGTTGCCAGAGAAGACTAAGTTCTCGCTCATTATTAGTCGGCATGTTTGACCATCTTCAACAACCTCAAGAAGCTGTGTTAGTAGCCACGCTTCTTATTATTCGGAGTTTTGGAGATGCCGCAACGTGTATGCTTGCGCCGGCAATTCTGATACCAACTGAAGGCTAGTCTAAGGGTGGGTTCAGATGACGAAGTACCTTGAAGCAATATAGATGGAGTGCTAGGTGCCAGATTATTGCCTGTACATGGAAGAAGACGACTGGGTCTCACGGGCATCATTAGACAACGATGAGCCCGGAATGACGATGCTGAGCTTCAGCAAGAAACGCCCATTCTCCTGGACTGCACGCTCAAAGAGCGTAATATACGCTGCGCACTGGGTTTGTTGCCATCTACTAACTTGAATCCAACTTCATATTCTTCCACACAATCATGCAGACATAGCAGCTTTCGGCAACTCCGCCAGTAATAATTGCATGACTTGACCGCGGTGGGCTAGGGTGTCCCTCTTCAAATTCGGAAGAGGAATCGTTGGTCAAAATTGGTCAGTAGCGATCGTGAACAACTCTCACAGAGCGTGCTAAGTGCCTCATTGACTATGGTGATAAAGCAACAGCAATATAAGACAGCAAGAAACTATTTGGCGAGACCGGCCCCTGCACTTAATCAATCTAATACGAGAACATCCTTGCATAGCGAAGCGCCCTCGAAAGAGCCTCAGAAGGAGTCTCCGACAACTGGTTGGATGGCATCTGTGCAAGATAGGACACGCACGCTGCCCTGGGGCGGGGTTGCTGAGGCGTGAGTATACGTGGTTCGCTCAGAGAAGAGATTCAATGCAGCAAAACATGACCTAAAATTTATTCCCAACTCACCCCGGTCTGGTAAGTCAGCCCTGGATACGCCCATTGTTTATCTCAGTGTGGCGTAGAAACTTTCATGGGTAAAGAGCTGGCCATCATCTTGGTTGTAAGCATCTTAACCTTCAATCATATCTCTGCTCTAAACTTGCGACTTAGTCTAAAATTCCCTCGACTACGGAGTGACATGATTGCGAGAGAATATCGAACTATTGTACGAAGACTTCTACAACTCATTGCATCATAAACTGAGTCGTTGGGTTGTCTGCTCAGCCATCGACAACATCTCCAAGATTAGCCCACGCATTTCATCATATTCGTCGCCACAATGTGTGAATCTTGTTCACCGCCCATGCGACCATAACTACGACAAGCTTCATATCACTGAGAACTGCAATATATGGCCTCAGAGAGGGCGGGTTAAGAAAACCCGTCGCCAGAGGTTCAGATCAACCACATGCCCGGCGGGTGTGGTAGGAAAATATCTGAACAAATCAACCAACGATAGCGAGAAGTATGAGAAGTGTAGAAGAGAGGAGCAAGGGCCAACTTTCCGGAAGAATAAAAATGGGAGATATGTACCGGCCGGGGGAGTTATCAAAGATAGACTTAACGGATACCATCGATAAGAGATACCAAGGCATTCTATAGGAAATACTATGCTATAACACAATCTCACTTCTAGTCTTAAAACTAATGAATGAAAGAAACATTACCACAGTGGTTTGGGTTTTACACTCAGCAAGCAAGGCTTTGAGTCAAGAGGGCATGGCAACTCTGATATGGCCGGCTTCCATGAAACACTCTAATATTAGCTAGAGTGTTTTCTGTAAACCTTACGCGCGGCTAGTAAGACTTTTCGGTAGTGACTGCCGTTCGTCACTGGTTAGTGCCGGATCTGCTTTCCAACCCGGAGTTGAGGGATTTGTGTATTGCCGAACTACCTTGGTGACTTCACGCGTGCGTAATGCCTCAACCTTGATGAAAATGCCTTTGAGTGGAGTAAAGTAAATGGCAACATTACTGTTAGTAGCACGGACCAAGCGAGCCAGTGACAGAGGGTTTACAGATTGCGATATACGATGAGTTGTGTTGGCTTGTGAAGGCTATGCTTTTGTGTAAGTGGTCACGAATGACTCGATGCATTAAAATAATGATCACTGAGTTCTGGCGGGCAATGAAACAGACCGGGGAACAGCAGGTATTGGAACTTGACTCCCGAACTGTTTTGTATCCCGATCTGCACCGCGTCCTTTTTTTTTTTCATAATACAAAAGGATCAAAGTCAATTTGTGCAGCCCCTTTTGATGAGTACCTATATGTTTTGAAAATATTTGCAACGGTAGTGCAGGGAGGCTGCTTGATTGCAGTGATTCGTGGCATATTGCGTGGAACCACGCTTGTGCGGGAACTAGCTGCACAACTGTCTCCATAATGTTTGGGTGTGAGCGCACCAGCATGGCCACATAACAACAATTGTTTATGATGCGATGATTATGAGTGGGATTGGTACTTCTGTCGACCTTGACTGAACTGAGACTTTTGCCTTACATGGTTATAAGTAGACCATATAGGTGGCGAACACAAAACTAAGGGTCTTTGGAGGGCAGTGAAGTTGAAATCGCATGGCGAAGTGCAGGAGTAAGCATTCATTCAGGGTCCTAGGTAACCACCAGACTTCAATTAGATAATCGGCTTGATCGGCCACTTCAGCACTCCGTAGAGTCGGTAAAGAACCCTGGAGACAGGCTAGTGACGTTTGCTGATGAAATAGCGCCAGGGGCTCAGCCCAGGAACTGTGGGTAGTTTCCAGGGGTTTCAGAGAGTCGAGCAATCAACGACGTCGAAGTCGTCAGCCTGTGCCCACTGCGCCACCCAAACATCCACGAGCCCGGGATGCGGATTCTCCCATCACTTCCGGATCTGAGGCTCGGACGGTTAACTATCCTTGACCTCTTGAGTGGCAAAAATTGATGGACACAATGATAAATATCAACTCTCTTCTTGTTCCATCTGTTTCCCAGTTCTTGGTCATCACAGTCTTAGTCACAACCACAACTACAACGCCACTGCTCTGATCATCTCCCGGCACTACAGGTTATCTAGTCTCTGCCTACATCCATCATCCATCGAATATAACATAATCCACCATCACCATCATGTCTAACCAGAGCGACTACGAATATACCAACACCCAAGCTTACCCTCCGCAAGTCCGCCAGTCTCAGTACTCTCCTCAGCCCCAGTACTCTCACCAATCTCAGTACTCTCTGGGAAACAACCCATACAGCCACGGCCAGGGAGGCTACATTCCCCCTTATCACGACCAGGCCGACTACTCCCGTAGCGCAACCCCCAGCTACTATCACAATCAGAATGAAATGACTGGTCCTGATGGCGAGCGAGGTCTCGGCGCAACGGTTGTCGGCGGCGGTACTGCCGGCTGGGCTGCCCACAAGTCCGGTTCGGGGATGCTCGGCAGTCTTGCCAGTGCTGCCGCTGGTGCCATCGGTGCAAATTTCCTCGAGAACAAGCTGAAGAAGTAAGTGTTCAAGAGTATCCGGAGAGCGAAATTGTATGTCACAGGATTCAAAGTTAACGTAAATCTCTAGGCATCGCAACAAGAGGCACAGCAAGTGATAAGTTAGCTTGTCATATTTTCTCATAGTCTATTTTTACTTTTACATTTTACGACGAAACTGTACATGGCGCGGCGTTACTTGGGTTAAAATAATAGTAAACTGTTTAGAGGGGTGTAGCATACCGGCAGGCCAAACCTTGGCCGAAATAATTAAATTATTATTATCGTCTTGCTATGCAAAATTATCAACACGGTCTTGAAGGGAATGAGCTTGATATAATATGTAGCTGTAATTTGATAGTAGGAATGATTCTCGCTCCTAATCCAGGGCCTTTGTAACTAATCGTCAAGCCCAAACTCGTGTGGTGGTTTTTTAAGCAGCAACCTCTGCATTCTCAAGATCGGATTTACCCTATGAGTGCGAAAACACGTGTCATCCGATTTGCCATAGGTCTTGGTATGTACTGTTGGTAGTCCACGAAAATCAACCCAGTCTCTCCGAAGGTCATCGGCAAATATACGGGAGCAGAGACTCGGGATGGCGCGGATGCCCTCAAAAGTCTTGCCTCTACCAGAGTCAAGCCAGCGCATGGCACGGTTCTGGAAGCTCACCGCAAGACTGTACCGAGTGCTTTCGGTTGCTAACTCAGGAAAACCCTGCTGGATGTCTTCGATCGCGATATTCTCATCTTTAAACGCCAACATGATACACTGCAGATTTTGGAAGCGTTGCCCTTTCTCAATTGTATCAAGCAACTCTGCTGCTTGGCTGACTATCGTCTTGCCGCATTCGCGAATTCTCAGTTCATGTAGCTTTTCCGGCAGGCATTCGACGATCCTGGGGGCGCCTTCAATCCGTAGTGGCATGTCTTGTGGCTTTATTGCTATGGGGTCAAACATCCCGGTAAGAGTCTGCATCCCGACGCTGAGGTACCTTAGCGCTGTCATCTGGGCAAGCTCATAGCCCAAGTACAACCCGTGTGGGTTTTCTCTCCAATCTTCCCTTTCACAGTCCTCCTGGAAGTCGAGATGCAAATGCGTGAGGGTTTCGGCATGAGGTAGAACAGCTCTCATAATGCCTTGAGATAGACTCCCATCAATCGGCATCCACATTGCACTGATGTACTCAAAGCTCGTCAGGTTATCGCAACTGTCCAACACAAACTTGACCTCGGATGCAGGCGCATGCGACTGGTGAAAAGCGACGGAGCGCACAGAAGACTTGGGCAATTGAGCGAGGACGGTCGAGTCTTCTGGAAGTTTGCCTTGGTAGGTGGCATTGAGGGATTCATAAATCTGTAGTTGGGGTAGTGCCAAGAGGCGGAGGGCTTGTTCCCAGCCGCAAGTGTTCCAATATTGAGATTGAACGTGAACATGCTCGACATTCCCTAGCGGAGGGGGCCTGGACTCAGAGACACCTGATACTGACAGAGTTTGGGCCATTTCAAGCAAAAACATGAAAGAAGGTGGCTTTTCGAAAAATTCTTCGTTCGACGGGTCTTGGGAGTCTTCAAAATAGAGCCTCTTGACGTTCGGACAAGCGAGCAGAATCAGAGAGATCTGTGCATCAGAGTAGCCTTCTTTCAGGTGAGCTATCCATCTGTCACGGCGTTCCGCATCCACCTTTCCAAGTGTTGGACCCAAACTGTCGATGATAAACCGCTCATAGATCTCAAGTTCTTCTGGACTGCTGGCATGTGAATTTCCTTCAACATTTCTATCCGCAAAGCCACCTAAAATGACTGTATCGACTTTCTTTGCTAGCTCGGGTCTGGAGACGAGGATATAACGCAAGAACTGGGCATTGCGGGTTACCGAGCAAAGTCCGTTGCCTACTTGCAAAGGTGCCGTGTTCCGGAAGATTTGCACGGACAACGGGAGGGCCACGGCGTATAGTTGTTTTGATACTTTGAGCAAGGCATGGATTGATGAGGGACCAAATGATGTTACCAGGAAACTATAGATTTTGGTTTGTAGTTCTGGTGGGAGGCTCTCAAGAGACATTGTGCAAGCGAAATACGTATGGAGATGAAGGTGGTAGTGAATGTGACGGGACAGTTGGAAAAGCAGACGACAGAGAGAAGAATTAGTGAAAGACAGTAACTACTTAATTATGTGTAATAGTTGAATACTATATATAGCCGGATGTATTCCCGGGAAGTTCACACAGACGTGCATGCTCAATCCACACATGGTCTTCACTAACCTCCATACTTCACACCGACATTCTGAAGGAAAATCCCTCATTTTAGTATTGCCTCGACCTAAACCTGTCATAACTTTCCGTCTTGTGCTTGACTCCAAATTTCCACTTCTGAAAATTTGTAGGCATGGTGAGATAAAACTTGAATAGATATTCGCCTTGTGATCAGCAGCTAGTGAATGCGGCTCGCACAGAAATAATTTTCGATAAGCTCTCTTTGAGTCATGATAGTTTATTAATTTTATGTATGAAAAGGCAATACTTGGATACTTGGAAAATCCTTCATTTGTTGTTGACGCCGGCCTCGGCAGTGCCCTTGACGGTTCACGTGTACATCACATCCCCGTGAGAAAGTCTTTGCAATGATCATGGTTTGATTTAAACACTAGTCCGTTACAGTTATTGTCTTGCATTTTAGTTTCAATTTTCTAGTTTTGTTCTGGGTAGATTTAATCTGATAGAATGCCATGGGACTCATAGCTTGTAGAACTCATAGAGTTCATGAAGCCCCTTGCCACCATACGATTATGCAGGTCGAGTTGAAAGACGACCATAGAAACCACTTATCTTCTGAAACCACTCCGCGAATCTTGCCACCACATATCCTGGCAACACATTCCGAGCGAGCTGTTCCTTGTGAGCGCGTGAGCGTGAAAACGTAGCACACGGTAGGCCTTCTCCAGGGACAGATCCTTAGAGCGATTTCAACTCATGCTCTTCTTCACTTGACGCTTGCCAACAGACAACAGACATAAATGGATTCTTATGCTTGTGTGTGTTTAGAGCAATGCGGGCAATTATCAGGGATACGTCTCGTGGAGTAAACAGGACCTTCGCTTGTTGCTTGCCGCTTCTTGACAGGTCGGCGTCGTCTGGGAGGTAGACTTGGAGGTAGACTTTCTGGGAACGGCCTGGGCGTGCTTTCGTGCGTCGACACATCATATTGAACCCAATCGAATGCCACAAGTTCGAAGGTGGGCATGCGGTTCTTGGCAATGATGGCCATTTTGGAAGGTCTAGCAATTGTAAGCGCACGTTACCTATTACGTGTGTGAATCTCTCTTGAGCACAAGCTACTCACTCTTGGCTATTGTATGGAATTCCGCCCCGTATCAGTTCCCTCGGCGTTTCGGGAATGAAGGAGCGAGGGTCCTGCAGAACCAACAACACATCCCAGTCGAACGTTTGTCGTGGGTCAATTTGTCCGATCGTCTGGCATTGGTTTGACAAGGATGCCAACGACGCAGTGGTCAAATCGCCCTGGACCTCGAACCACAGATATTTGAGGTTCGGTAATTGGGCTGAAAGCTGTCCAAAATCAGTATCGGTGAAACCAGTGGCATCTATTTTACCACCCTTGGTTGGCTTGAGATTGAGTGATTCTAGATTGCGATGCGATTTGAGCGACAACAGCTGCCCTGGAAAAAGTTTCGCCTCATTCCCAAATGTGAATTTTATATGGCGCAAGTCCCGGATCGATGCCATGGAGCCAAGAATGTCATTCTGACTGTCTTGGAAGCTCAAATCAATGGTGGTAATCGATGGGAGCAGCTCACCAAGCAACACCCCGGAAGCGGAAGGCAGAGGTTTTGTGATTCTAAGCGAACGAAGAGCGGGAAAGGGATGACCAGAAGAGGCCTCTGCAATATCTGAGATGAGCGCAGGTTCCAAAGACCTTTCAAGTCCCAGTTTTGTCAGGTTTGGGCGGCTGGCAAGATCGTGAAGGAGTTGGTCTGAGGTTAGATTGCCAGTTTCTTTGCTCAAGGTGACGGACTCGAGTGACTTGCATCCTGAAATGAAGTCGAACATCATTTCAGAGGATACTTGAGAGCCAGGACTGGCTATCCATATTTTCTTGAGACGCCAGCATGTAGCTTGCATGTCGCCTACCAACTGTCCACCGTAGAAGTGCAAGGTTTCAAGTCTTGGCCGGAGATATTGTTGGAGATGGAATTCCGTTCCCTGGCGGCTAGCATGGATGGATCCCATCTCCGCGAACATCAGTTTATCAAAGCTTAGATCATGGGAAAATTTGTGGAATTTTCCTCCAAAAGACCCAACGTTGACTCTTTCCATCTTGGCGGCATAGATCTGTTGACGATCCTTGGGAATATCAGCGAGGGCGTTGTGGGAGGCATGTTTCCACAAAGAATTCGTTGCGCAATCAAACCACAGCTTGTTCACTCGCGCAGCTGCCAACAACGCTCGGTGATCTGTTTCCATGGAGTTGAAGATGCGCTCTAGGATCTCTGGCATCGCCACAGCTTGTGCCATTGCCGGTGACGCCATGGTTGGGCTATTGCTGACGGAATGAGGACACGCGGATGTTCAGTCGTGTCTTATTGAGGGAGGAACGGGAATGCTGAAAGTAGTAACAAGATCAAGACCTCTGCTTCTGAATGTCTTTCGTCCAAGGCGCGTTGCAATGTGGAAGCTGGAAGAAGTGTAAGAAGAAGGAACATGAACGATCAATGCCCAACGGGTACCCCAATGATACCCAAATATTTAGTAAGCAGAGCGCCTATCGAAACGCCTCAGCTGTAAACATTGTCAATATTCCTTGGGATGTCTCATATCAGTATAGCCCGCTGCTTATAATAATGACATGTTACATTGTGGCGTTGGACTTTAACATGGAAAAGGCGGATTTGAACTGTACAAACTTCCTTATGACGAGGAAATCTTGCTCTCATGCGCTTGAAATTGACAAGAGCAGCAAAAGAACTTTACGCAAAGTTTCATTCATCTCAATACTCTTGTTAAGCATAAGGCTGACCGAACTTTGGTGGTCTTGAGGACTCCATCCTTGTTTGTAGCTGCTCCACATGACCCTGGTTATTGATAATGCACTATGAAACGGAAAGGTTTAGCTTGAAATGCAACCTGATTGATCAGGCTTTAGATATGATTGGAAGACAATATCTGTGAGCAAAGATACTACAGAGTGATGCTGATTCAAGCTCGACAAATTGGTCCACGAAGTGAATTGTCTTCGCTCCAAAGACCAGGGGGACTTGGATCTGACAAGGATTATTCCATCTAGGGCATGCAGAATAATAAGCTTGCTTACTCTTTCCCCACCGTATCTCAGCTTAAAAACCCCCTCTCGAGACACCTGCTCTCTCAATTGATCTTGACATTCGGGCCATCATGTTTGCTAGAATTCTGATCGCCGGCGCGGTGCTGATCGCCTCACTGGCCTATTTCCTCTCAGGAGGCGCAGATCTCCCTCAGCGTCCCCCCTACATCCAGGGCAAGAACAAGACTGTCCTGTTTCTCGCCAATGAACATCATGGGTTTTCCAATGCGCACATGGCGACCGCTTACGCGCTGCTTGAGAACTTCCCCGACCTCGAGGTCCATTTCGCCTCTTTCCCAAAGCTCCGCCGCACGATTGAAAACATTTCATCATTTGCCAGGGCTAAGACTCCGGCAGCTCGTGAGATCACCTTCCACAGCTTGAAGGGAATTTCCTTTTCCGACTCGTGCGAGAAGGAGTCGGCGGCTAGGTATCCCGGCTGGGAGTCCCAGGATGTCATGATGGGACCACCGGGTAGAGCTGGTCTTGAGAAAATGACTCGGGATTTTCAGTGGCTAATCTCGCCATGGACTGTTGAAGAACACCTGGCCCTATATGAAGAGATTGGCCGCGTAATTGACGAGGTCGATCCCGCGGTTGTTGTAAATGAGGTGTTTATGCGGCCGGCCATTGACGCGACGAGAGACAAGAACCGACAGCATGCTGTAATCACCCCAAACACGGTCCTAGATAACTTTGTGGCCGATCAGCCGCATGGGAGCTCTCTCTGGAAATTCCCTGCGTGAGTCTTGACCTTGGATATTGACGAATTGCCCCTATGCTAACTTGGAGGAAACAGCCAGTCATCAGGGATCGGATTCCCTGTGCCCCTGAGCAGGATACCAGAGAACATCTACCTCAATATCCGCATGATCAGTTCCATCATGTACACACCCGGAATCTCCGCCAAAAAGGCTGCACTCAGAGAGAAGGGCCTCAAGGAACCGATCAATTTCCTAGGCCTTCACCGATCTGATGTTCCGTGGATCACTATGGACACAGAGGGGGCAGCCATCCCAGTCGACTTCATCCCGGCCAACGTCACCCGCGCAGGGCCAATCTTGATAGATAACGCGCCTGTTTCAGAGCAAGACCCAGAGTTGGCGCGATGGCTCAAGCAAGCACCGACAATCCTTTTCAGCCCCGGTAGTTATTTTCGCGTGAGTCACATAATCTCTCCTCCATGTCTACTTGCCGTCATCAATTGTCCTCTTACTCCTCTGGACGTTTACGTCTGACTTTGGTGACTACTAGGTCGAAGAGGAGCGCGCTCGGGTTATTGCCACTGCCTTGGCGGATGTCCTAGCAAAGACTCAAGTTCAAATTATATGGAAAATAAAGAAGCGAGGTGAATATTCGGACGAATTTCTGAAGCCACTGCAGCCCTACCTGGACGAGGGTCGGGTGCGGGTGACGAATTGGCTCACCGCCGACCTTTATTCCATTCTCCAGACTGGGGACATTATCGCCTCTGTCCACCACGGGGGATCAAACTGTTACCACGAAGCTATAGCGTAAGTCTGAGCTCTTCCGGCTTAATTACGACTCTTCTGACGTGGATCTAGCGCTGGTGTGGCCCAGGTTGTTTTGCCAATGTGGTATGACACGTACAACTTTGCTTCCTTAACCGAAATGGCCGGGGTCGGTGTTTGGGGCTGCAAGAAGACGAGCCCGGAGTGGACAGTGGAGGAACTCAGTGGCTCTATCCTGAAAGTAATCGGCAATGACGAACCGGGCATCAGAATACGCGAGACCGCGAAGCAGCTGGGAGACAAGGTGAGATCAAGGGAGAAGGGACGCGACATTGCGGCGCGGGAAGTTGCGAAACTAGCCTATATCAGGTAAACCTAGCAAAAAAGAGGGCACTGTATATCTGTATTTGAGGGTCCTAGCAATGCCAGAGAGTGCCTTGGTGAAGCATAACTTCAGAGGATCTTGATTGATTTCGGATGGGGCTAGATGCTGTTCAACAGACACGGGTGACGCAAATAAAGAACCAGCTAGAATTATTATGACATGCCAGAGAGCACGTTGTCTGGTCTTCTTCCATACAAATCCCCCTTGAGTAACAATTCAAATCGTATACATAAATCTCGGGCTTCTGTCACCCAGAGCATTGACCTCCTCTTCGGACATGCCGGCGATTTTGTGATCCTCCTTCCCAGCTCTACGCCTCTTGTTTACGTGGTTGAGGTAGAGCGACATGAAGCCATAGATGAAGATTCCGTAACCAAGCAGCCCAATAGACACGGCGTAGCCCATCGTGTATCGGGGCGCATCCTTTGTAGGGTACAACTAAATGCGAGCCGTTAGCTTCTATTGAAGTTGAAACTAGGTGGGTGGAAGAAAGGGTTTCTTTTTGCTCTTACAAATGGTGCTAATATTCCGGAGCAATTGCAAATCGTGATTTGAATTGCCGAAGCAGTCGTACGTTTACCATATCGTGGATTGTTTGAAGGCAACCAGGCCAGAGGCAGCCCAACCGCGACGAATAGACCCAAAGAGATGATGAAAGTCGCGGCATAGTGTGCCGTAGGACCAACATCTGCCATAGATATACCGTAGCCAATAATGCATATCGAGGCGAATATAACCTGGTACAGCCCACGGAGCTGATGGCGGTCGGAAACCCATGCCACAATCAAGTAGCTCATGGCGCCTAGAGCATAGCAAGGAACAGTCAGAGCCTGAGCCTGAGGGGCGGTCCATTGTCCAAGGCCTTTTCGATTTGTCAGTAAATTTGATGTTCATCTTTTGAAAGGGGAATTCTTGTACCTCGGATAATAGAAGGAAGGAAGACAGAGTAGCTATACAGCATGGAGTTGACACCAAACTGGCCGGCTGCAAACAGCCAAGTCTTCCAATCTTTGACCGCTAGGATAGCATCCTTCTTGTCAAACTCCTCGCTGAAACCAGTCTGACGCTGCAGTCTAGCTATGAGAAGCTGTCTCTCGTCCTCGTTGAGAAACCATGCAGTATGGGGATCGTCGGCAAGTACAAAGTACAAAGCAACCCCAAAAGCCACCGTAGGCACGCCTAGATTTTCAATAAATCAGCCTCTATCAAAGGGTCTGGCCGCCGTCTGAAGATTCCACTTACCTTCTAGGATGAACACCCAACGCCACCCAGATTGGCCTGCGACTCCATCCATGAAGCCTATCCCGTAAGCCAACAGACCACCGCAGGCCCCGGCCAAGGCGGAACTGACGAATAGATAACCGATTCTGAGGGCGATTTCTTTCTTGGTGTAGAAAAGGGTCAAATAGACCGTCAGACCAGGGAAAAGGCCACCTTCCAACAGCCCCAGTAGCACGCGAACCACAAGAAGTCCTGCATAGCTATGTACGACTCCTGTTAAAGTGGACACGATGCCCCAACCGACCGTGATGAATGCGAGCCACTTTGAGGGAGTGAACTTTTTGAGGATCAGATTGCTGGGAACTTCGACGAGGACATAGGGAACGAATAGGATTGCCACAGCCACTTGGTATTGGGAGCCGACCAGCCCGAGCTCTTGCTCAAGACCAAAGAGACGGGCGTTTCCAATGTTGGTTCTGTCGAGGAAGCATAAGAGGTAGGCAATCATGACGGTGGGCACGATGCATCTGTCGAGCTTCCGGACGAGGTCCTTCTCGGCCTGATGATCAATGGTCATCTCGTGAGTTCCTTCGGTAGCTGAAGCTCTATCGTCATGTTCAACTTGCAATTTCTCCGGCGTCATGGCGAATGCTTCAACCAGTTTCTCGGTCAAGTGAAGTCGAGTGAAGTCGATTGAGGGATTAATTATAGGCAGACTGGAGCCGAATTTGACGAGTTGAGAAGAACGGGAGACAGATCTGGTCGGTCCAGTAGATGAGTGTAGTCTTTGGGACAGGATCAAGGACAGGATCTCGGCCTCTTTATGTCCCAGAAAGACAGACACGTCTCAACAACAGTTGGCAGTACCCTTGTCAGACCCAATAGTCTGGTAGAGTGTGACAGCATGCAAGTGACCAATCGATCCCAGATTACCCCGGATCCTGATTGGCATCACAAGCTAACGACAGGATCTGACCTCGCGTATCCTCTCTACAGGGAGATCCTGCTCAGAAAATTTCCCTATCTACCCGGACCCCGCAAAGAATTTATCAATCCCATGGGGCCCCACGATTATCTATGAACAAACCGTTAATCATCTAGACCGTTCACTAGTGCTAGTTGTTGCGTGGGC